TTTCACCCCCCCCCCCCCTCTCTCTCTCTGTACTTTTCTTTATTTCACTATCTTTGATCCTGGCTCTGTCTCCTACTTTCGCTACTCTCTCATACGATGTATCCGAAGGCGTTCAATATAGCCTCCTATTGGCGCAAGTAGATCTAGGCTAAAGATTTCTATGCCCTCAGGTCGACCAGGAGTATCCCAACCGCCTATGGCTTCTTGGTATCTACTTCCTTGGGTGCGGACGGATCCCAGCCGATGATATATTTTCTATATTTATAAATAACTCGATGTAGATTATCTAGGGACATTTATTATTTACTATTTATTTCCCGGTTGGCAGATTTCGCTGCTTTTCACTATATTTAGCTTTTGCGAAACTTTGTTCACCTTGTGCTGAATTACTTTTTCTATATCTAATTTATTGTTCATTTTGTATTTTTGATCGCTTTAAAGTTTCATTTATTTTTCTCTTTCTCCTTAATCAGGATCCACCGGCGTATAGCTACCGGTATGAAATCGGTGAGACTGATGGCAAGGGACATGGAAAATCTGAAACCAGATCAGGAGAATTGGCGAAAGGACGGTACTATGTGAATTCTGATAGATCTAGTACTGACGTCAAATATTTTGCTGATGAATGGGGTTATCATCCATTGGTGCATTATGGTCTTTCTAATGAGCACAGTGCAACCAGTGCTAGCTTCGCACTGGGAGAACCAGCGGTGACTGCATTGAAGAATGGTGGAGACGTGGTGAGTACAAAAATGCAATATCTGATTATATACACAGCTATCTAACTGAAAAAAAAACGGGATAACTCCTTAACTGCCATTTCTGAATTGTTTAGAAATAAGTAAAAAAATTATTATCAAATATGCTGATTATTCCAATATGACTTTTCTACGGTCATTGTGATAATTTCCAATGTACAGAATCCGCTTAAACTTAGAATCTCTAGCCTTAAAATGTTGACAGCACCATTAGTGCTTGAATTAGCATTAATTAATCAATATTTGGTCAATAAACGTATTGACTGTCATATATGATTCAATTTGATTGAAAGTTCATAAATGCAAATGAGAAAATTATAGTATTGTATCAAATTAATTGAACTTTCAATCATTTTGATAATAATCGTCAATTTCCTAATCTCAATCACATGATTCACAGGGTCCACATGTGGAATTGCCAAAAATGACACAGCGTCGTCCACTGCAAATCATTCAACCGTACACAATCGAACAAGGCGTGAGTCCTACGAAGAATTACGATCCTGGACAAGATTTGGTTCCGGAAGTTAGCCCAGTCTCACAGTCGAACGATGCTACATCTTCCGGTCAGCCAACAGACGAAAACAAATCAGACCCAAATGAGTCACAGCCAATATTACTGATACCAAACTTCACAACTAGCAGACCAATATATCGAGTAACGACGATAGCGCCACTACCGGAAGTAACTGGCACTAACAGCAATCTCCTAGAGGATCTTTTGCTGGTGCAAAATGACGGAAACTTTGGACAGCGTCTGCCAAGTGGAGCTACGAAAAATTTTGATTATCAAACGACAACTAGGGCTAGTACTACAGGATCCTTTAAATTAACTAAACAAAATGGTGACGTAACCTATAGAATTCACGAGGATGAGAATCCCAACAGAGCATTTTTAACGTCTGTGAAGAAAAATCATAAACAAGACAGACTTAAACAATATTTATATAGTCAACAATTGTTTGCGCCAACTGGGAGGGTCAATATATCAGACAGTATTCTACAAGGACTACACGTGTTTTCAACAACTGTCGCACCTCCAGTGTCAACTACTGCTACCCAATTGTCGACAGGAGGTGAAGTAAATTACGAGTACAGTAATACAATCGAGCATGAGAGACAATCGTATGCAGGACTGTCCAGTTATACTACAAGTTCATCAAAAAATAGTTATGAAAATGCTCAAAGAAATCCTGAAATAATAAATTATGAGCTAGACGTAAATTTGGGTACCAAGGAAAAGCTGACAACACCTGGTCTATCAGCTTATACAACCAAGGCACCACCAAGTTATAAAGTTGAATCGTCCACAACTGTAAATGCAAATAGAGGAACATTCTCAAAACCAATAGTTGTTGCTGAAATTGCACAATATAAACCAGAGTACAGTACAACCTTTACGTGTGACGATGAAGTTTCTAGTACCCCTAATCCAGGATTCTCGACTACTTTAGGACCTGAGACTTTGGGTGAATCTATCTTGGTCACGCCTAAACCTCGTGGACCTGGTCACATCACCACTTCATCCGTCATATTGAACCCAATTCAGGCTGGTGTTGCCCTGGTCAATGCAGGTGAAACTCATCTAATAGGTGGTGACACTTCAGGAGGTACACCTGCACCTGTTAAGGAAGAAATTGCCGATGATACCGAGGATGCTAGTAATTATGATCGGCAAGAGGTCGTACAGAATCAGGATAAGTCGAGAGTTTTTTACGAGAAGATCAATCCCGCCTTTGGTCAAGAAAGAAATCTTGTTAAAGACATTTTAGATCAAGAGGTTGAGGTACAAAAGTCTGTTGAAATATATCACAATGCACCTATGCACGAAATCCATTATCCTGCCGAGTTGATACGAACTGATCAGAGCTATCAACTTCAAAATGTGAATCAGCACTCTAATGATAACAGTGCTGCTACCAGTTTTGATATTCGAAACAATATATACAATTCCGAGCAAAATACCGGGGAAAAATTAGGATCCGGAAATATTTTAGGAACTGTGGAATCAGGATCAGTTGGGCAAAGTGAATCGTTGGAGGTTCGAAATGATGGGTCCTACCAACATGCCACCTTACAAGGATTGATTAACCAACCTGCTGATAATCAAGGGAAGTACCAATCGCAGGTATATGTTGGCAACAATGAACATTCTCAGCAAGTAATTGAAGAGGATAGTAATCAACAAGTGTACCAATCTCAAAGTTTGATCAGTAATACTCAAGAAAATACCGAACAGCAATCTATAAATTTAGCTAGTAATAGTCAGGCTTACCAACCACAGACTTACGTTGAGAATAATCAAAATTTGGAACAGAACATCAACGAGGCTGCTAATGTACAGGTTTATCAACCACAAATTTATGTTGAAAATAATCAAAATGCTCAAGAGCAAATTATAAATGAAGCCAACAATGGTCAGACGTACCAGTCGCAGGTTTACGTTGAAAATAATCAAAATGGTCATGAAATCGTAAACGAAGTCAATAATGCTCAAAATTCCCAGCAACAAATATACTTTCCGAATAATCAAAATGTTCAACAGCAGCCCACGAATGAAGCAAGTAACTCGCAGGTATACGAATCTCAAAATAACGTGAATGGTAATCAAAATGCGTTGCAACAAGCAATCAACGAAGGTCAAGTGTATCAACCACAAATTTATATCGGGCATAATCAAAATCCACCGCAACAAGTAAATATACCAACCAATCAACAGGTGTACCAATCACAGATCACTCAACAAAATGGTCAAGAAAATGCTCAAAGTCAGAGTGATGTCAATTTTGGCAACATTCAATCCTACAAGTTGAATCAAAATGGGGCAACATATACCTCGGAATTAAATCATGGTCATCAACAACTGGCAGTAACATTACCATATACACTTGAGGCATCCAAGGAAATAACTATACCTGGCTTAAGTAGGGAACAAAGTGTTGAAGACACTCAACAGGACCTAGGAAAGTTTTTAGATTATTCCCTGCAAATCCCCCTAAGTAAACCAATCGATGGACGAACTCCAGAATCTGGATCATACGTGATACAAGTCGAAAAACAAGTACCTTATCCGATAACACAATTAATTGAAAAAAAGGTCGAGATACCACAACCACATCCGGTTCAAGTAATTCAAACGTATCCAGTTGAGGTTGAAAAGGTCGTTGAAAAGAAAATACAGGTATCACAGCCATATCCGGTACACGTGCAGGTACCAGTCGAAAAGATAATCGAGAAGAAAATTCCTCAAACGTTTGTAGTTGAAAAAATTATTCAAAAACCAGTACCGCAACCGTATCCTGTTGAAAAAATAGTGGAAAAAACGGTACACGTGCCACAACCATATCCAGTAGAAGTAGAGAAAATAGTCGAAAAAAAAGTTCCGGTACCTCAGCCTTATCTGGTACATATTCAAGTTCCGGTTGATAGAATCGTGGAGAAACACGTGGCGGTGCCGCAACCATATCCAGTCCATATTGAAAAAATTGTTGAGAAGAAAATCCCATATCCTGTTGAAAAACTGGTACCACAACCATATCCGGTTCACATAAACATACCGCAACCATATCCAGTGGAAAAAATAATAGAAAAGAAGGTACCATATCCGGTTGAAATAGAAAAATTTATTGAACGCAAAGTACCATATCCGGTCCCAATTCATGTACCTTACGGAATTCAATATGGTGTGAGCTACCAACAAATTATGAAGCCTCAACTGCCCAATCTACATTCGATCTATCAGAGAACGCAGACACCGCTATATGGTTTACCAATCAAAAATCAAGAATCGTCAAGCGATTCCACGTCACAATTTCAAGGTTACCAGTACAACAAACCCTCCATAAGTTTCATAGAAGGATCGAGCAATCATAATAACATAAAGCACAATCACGTTTATTATTCATCTAACACAGTGGCGCCATCTCACGATAAAAAGCATCAATTAGCTTATCAATCCTACGTCAATCATCCTTATTCAGGAGCTCATAGAAGGCACGCTATGAGAATGTCTACGGTCGAAAAAGGTATCAAGGATCAATATATTGGTCCAGTACCACCAGAAAGTCCTACCAATATACGTCATTCGAAAAATTCCCTAGGCATACAATCAAAATCCTTACAATTTTCTACCACAATGACAAGAGCGCCGTCTATCGTCACAACCAGGAGGTTGAGATCAGAAGCACATCCTCAGAGTGCCACCGGTACCTTCAGGCAATCCAAAATGGAGTATGGTTTTAAACCACCGATGGTACCGTCTGTACAATATGACGAGAAAACCGCACGCAAAGTGGAGAGTTAATTCTACGCGATGAATGAGGATTAGATTCGGATTTAAGCTGAAGTAGCTCCGTCTCTGTGAGACTCAACCTGCCTGCATTTCTGCGGGACTGTTCCGAGTGGCATCACGAGGATGCATTAAGTTATTATTAAGCTTCACAGAGACAGCAGCTTTACACGACTTTATTTCAAGGATTAAACTTAAGTTAGGTTAGGATAGCTTACCGATCGCCCTCGAATAACGTACAGATAATACCCTATATCCTTAAATTTTCAATTCTTTTAGAAACATAATCAATAGTCACATCGATAGTAACTTGTATATTGTCGTCCAAGGATATTTCCAAATGATTAATTCCCTCATCATTCATTTGATACGAATATTCATCACGCCTCATTTATAGTACGTACTAGTACGATGAGTGTAAGTACTCATATTATTATTATAATTAGTGTATATCATTTTATAGGAAAGTAACAATTGTCAATGTCAGCATTTATCACAATTATTTATCCATTATCAATGTGTGTCACAAAGCGATTAAATTATTTTATAAGAACATTGTTCTTCTCGCTGTTTTATAAGTTTTCTGAATCTCCATTCTTATAAATCATCATGATAGTATTCGAGTGCTGTAATCCCACGAGTCAGATATTATCTATCCGTACTTGCCATACACGATATTTTTTGTAATTTCTGTGAAGTAAAGTTTGATTTTAGAAGCAGACGAATGTAATAAAAGTGCCCGATGGCGCCACTAACAGTGCGCACGCGTCAAAAAAGCTCTATTGCGAAAAAATTAAGTATTTCAAATGTGCGCATGCGCGAACTTTCTCCTCACAGTTCGGAAATGGGGCACCTCGCACACTCTCCATATGCTTCGAAAATCAAACTTTCCAAGCAGGTGTTACAAAAAATTCATTTTTCTCCTAGATCTTATCCTTAAGTATTAAAAACTCCAAATTCGTCAAATTTATTTTCTTTCCAATGAAAAATAGGTAAGATCGATTTATTTATTTATCGCTTGATTCAAACGGTCACACCACGGACCCGATATATCTTTTCGAAAAGTTAGTGGTCCATATGGATCTATACACCGTGAACTTTTAGATCAGCCAGCACGAATAACCTGTATAGAAATAGACTGTCAGCGAGGGTCCTGTTGCCATTTATACCAGAGTCCAAGGATCGGCAAAGGCAGGAGTGGTCTATAAAAGGATGTGTATATGGATCGCTATAGTACGTTTATACTTAGACAGGATATCGCCATAGATCTCAGAGCTTACAGGAAGTTTACTCTCGTGTACTTGTATACGATATAACTGAATACCTATATATTCGACTACATAGAAATCCAAGCAACCCCTTTGACTCTTTTACGACGACGTATGGACAGAACGTAGAGGAATACGTCCTGTGACATGGTGACATGCGTCTCACGCCGTTGACTAATACATACTAATACAGTACGAGGTTTGGAATCGAAACGACGGAAATTGTCGTATTTCGCGAAAATACGGTAAACTGAGAACTCGGATTGTAAGCGAAATATGTCAAGAATCACGAAATATTTTTAAATAAGGTTTTGAAGAAGAAGATGGATAAAATGAAAAATTTGAAATATAATACACTGGTATATCTTCTGGAAAGATTGAATTTGGAGGCTTTTGTCTGGTTAAATTTTATTAATTTTTTTTTTTAGGACGACATGTCAGTCAGAAATAAACGTGATTTTTTAAATCATAATTGAAATTCTCCAGCTAGGTGTACTACAATATATGATTAAACAAGAGTGAATGTATCTTTATATGAATAAAAGTTGGTGACATTCTAAGAAAATATTTCTAGAGAAAGAGTTCCTCTCTTGTATTGCTAGCAGGCAGGTAGCCATAATTCATGCTTTTCCCAGGGAATAAAAGTATCTACGGTCCTGGCCATAGGACGAAACGCCCAAGGATACGGCCAATTTGTCCTTTTCCATAAAACGCCAATATATCTGTCAGGAAGTAACAAATCTTGGGCGGGTAGAAGATACGAAGGATATTGGCTGATGGGGAACAATTTTTACGGGGTTCCATACATTTTGTATTCCCATCCCGAATGGCCAAATGGCGACCCGAGTATTTCCCATTTCACCCCATTCCAACTCTACCCACGAGAAAACCCTCGGAAAGCGGGTTGGACTGAATGGGATGGAATGGCTTTTTGAGGATTTTGAAGAAAAAGGGGTAGATAGAAAGAGAGGTGTACTATGAAGAAAGAGAGTACAAACTTGCTCGAGTCATGCACGACAGATACTTCTTTCTAAAGATAATAACAAGATAATGCTTTATTGTCTTAAAGATATATCAATTAAACTTTTAATTGTCATAACATCTAATTAATGATGCTGGAGGGCAAAAAAATATATAATTACATTATCCAAACGTCCTAGGGACTTTTGCTCGACTTACTTTAATTCAACTTAATGAAGTTACCCATGTGGCTCTCACAACTGGCACTCCACTTTCTTACTTACTTACTTGCTCATAGCCGGTTGGCTGAGCGTGTTCTTACTTGGTGGGGAGGCTTACAGGCTGAAGTAATTCGGGGAGGAGACTACCCTACCTACAGAGAACCATCACACCACTACCGCGCAGTGCCACGTCTGGCTACGTTCCACCTTTTAGGTAGTAACTACTGAAAGCTAGATAGATAAATAGAGGGTGTAAAGGGGGTATCGAAAGGGCGAGAGAAGAGGAGGGGAGGTAAGGGAAAAATTAAACTGATAGCGTTGCTGGGATAGGGTTAGGAAACTGAGAGAAATGGTAATTTCTATTTATTTTATTGGCCGGCATTCGCCTTATTGAAATTTACATTTCTGAATCCGTATAATGTAAAGCGTCTGGAACTTTGCCAGAGCGTAAATTACCCCCTCGCCTTTTATTCAGAGCGTGAGAAAGCATCCCTTGCCGTCCACGAGAATTCCCTTTTAGCCTGATGACGTTTTGCTCGCTAACTCACAGCGCATCCCTCTGTGCATAGTGGCGTATCAGCGTCACATTTTCACAACGGCCAATAAGTCTTATTGTTAATACGTAAAAATGTGCAGATTAGGAATAAATTTTTTCAAAATTTATAAAAGAAATTTTTAAAACCTAATATGGTATATGGGATGATACTGACTGATATTTGGCATTGAATAAAATGTATGTAAAAAATGCAAGTAAAAGCTATCCATAAAGAGCAATATTTACCATTGAAGGGTTGAAAAGAAAAAAAGTCATGCAATTAAAAATAAAGAGCTGCACCCACGTACACTATAATAACATAAGACAGGGGTAAAAAGTGAAGTACCGATGGAACCGGCGTAACCCTTAAGAAGTATCCAAGGTGAATCTCAAGGGTGTTGAACTAGCAAAGGGCCCACGTCCTCACCGCGTTAACTTCCTGTCAGACATCAAGGGAACCGGAAGTCAACCCTCCGACCAAACTTTCCTCCCTTTCGGCAAACCCTCGCGAAACATCCCTTGTCGGCAAACCATCCCCTAAGAAATTCACTGAGAAACAGCGTCAACCACGAACCTACCTACGCATTACGTATTCCGTGGTGGATCTTGGCTAACGACTTTTCCTCTATGGCGTCTTATGGAGAATATTCTATTTTCCCACTAGGAAACAAAAGAAGGCGATGCCAGATGTACTCATATCCTAGGGAATTCTGAGTCGCGCGAATCATCCCTGGGACGAATAATGTTTCTCGAAAATATATTTACTGCGACGCAAGAAGGGAATCTTGAAATTCCGTCCAGGAGAATTCTACTGTACGTTTTTCATGATCAAGTATCGTATTATTTTGCTAAAAATAAACTTACCTTTTTACGTAATATTTTTTAGTATATGGGAAAACCTTTCAAGGCTTTGGGTTAGTTGAAATCCCGAGATTTTGTAATTAGATTCGTGCACAGGGCAGCAGTCGTTTGAAGTACAATACACAAGAAAAGACGATTGTTGATTTATTTATTTGCTTGTACAGGCTAAATCGAAGATTCTCTCTTCTTTATACTCTTGCATTCTAGTTTTGTATTACTTTCTCATCACATACAAAGTATGTAAGAAAGTATTGTAATCCAAAAAAAAATCGACTCTCAGATTTTGATGGAAATACATGTTTTGAGCCTCACTCATTTCTGTCTGTCTGTCTGTGGTAAATTCTGTCCGAAAACACATTATCTTTCCAAAGAGGCTACGGATCACAATGAAATTTGTTGTGTGTCTTCTGTGTATAAAATGTAGTTTTGGTACTGTAATTGACACCAAAACACCAATCCATTCTGTCACTTTACCTGAAATGTGAAAAATAAAAAAAAAATTTTCTATCGATGGACTGATTAAAAAATTACTATGCTTTAATCTGGGGCGTAAAGCCATACTTAGATGCTTGAAGCAAACACAAATTGAGTTATTCAGTACAGGGATGCCTTGATTGTCTAATGCTGTCCTTGAAATAAAATAAATCGTTAGTTATTTTATAGTGCACTGTACAATCATCATATGAAATACATATATAACTTGTTATACGCATACTCTAAAAGCAATCATATTCCACAGGCTATAAGCAGTCCATCGGATCTTCCCCTAGAAAAAATAAAACGCACAGAAAAATATAAAAGATTGATTTATTTACAAAATCATAAAGCTCTTAAATATTACACCAAACGTCTTCACCTTGAGATAACATCAAACACTCGTTCCACATGTTACAAATATAATTACGCGTTGACCAAGTTATTATTCATTTTAATATATTTTATGATTATATGTAGTCACTGATTAACAAAACACTTTAACGTATAGCAAATTGCAGGTAAATATCGATTAATTTCACTTGCGAAATAATAATAAACACACGCAAACTGTCACGCACAGCTCCCGGCTACTGTAACCCATTGTATCTTCACCATGGAGGTTAGATCATAGACATATAAGAACAGACCACGCGAGAGATGCATAGACCGGTGCGTGAGTGGCTGTGACTGCTGGATAAAAAGAGAACACCGCAAAAATTTCTTAAACCCAATGCCGGTTAGACATAGATAGAAAGAGATCTAAATGCTACTGTCTCTTTTTATTTTGACCAGGTTATGAGAACCAACAGAAAAGTCTTCTCAGTATATCCCCGCTTAAAAAATACGATAGAATTCGAAAAGAAACGATAAAACTAATTGCCGATTTCTATCTAATGTAATCTGAACCTATCAGGTTGTTGCTTTATCGTAATAATACGATAGAAATTTAATCTATACCTATATGTATTTTCATATAACCAGTACGTCTATCTATGGTAATATGAAATTCACGTTCTATTACGTATATGATGCTATATGATTCTATATGAATCATATTTTTATATGTATTAATATGAAAATGCGTGATAGGAATCGAATCGTTTTCTATCGTCACCAACTTATTAGGGAAGAATATGAAATAAACGATAACCTTCTTACATGACTCAATAACAAATGGTTTTCCCAACAATTATCATGAATTTAAGGATTCATTGCACGTACATTTCCCACCAAGAATCTTATTTGATTCGAATTTGAGTGCTTTGACACGAGAATAAAAACTGAAAAAAATCGACGTCTTGGAAGATAGTAAGAATGTTTATTTTTAATAATAATACCAAAAAGTTACTAATAAATGAATTAAAAAAATTATTTTACATATTCGATAGACAACTTTCATATGAAATGAAGTCTCTAATTTTTCCGATAAAAAAAGAGATATTCTTAATATCTCCAAGACGCTGTTTTTTGTCAAAGTTTTCCCTTATCGCAAGATACTCAATGAAATCAATCTTTTGGTTGAGAATTCATGTACAATGCATTCTTAATACAGTTAACTAGCGATCAATTTTTCGTGTCATGCATAAAGTCATCCTATATAATATGCAATAATAAACCTATTAAAAACGATAAACAGTTGATCTGCTTTTTTTTATATAAAACCTCTCTAATTTTTTCGAAAAGTATTCTTAATATCTCCAAGACGCTGTTTTTTGTCAAAGTTTTCCCTTATCGCAAGATACTCAATGAAATCAATCTTTTGGTTGAGAATTCATGTACAATGCATTCTTAATACAGTTAACTAGCGATCAATTTTTCGTGTCATGCATAAAGTCATCCTATATAATATGCAATAATAAACCTATTAAAAACGATAAACAGTTGATCTGCTTTTTTTTATATAAAACGATAGAAATTGTATAGGAAATATTAGATAACGAATCTAAATTTTACGAACCAAAAACACGATTGGATTAGATAGGATTTTTTTAAAATCGTTTTCTATCGTATTTTTTAAGCGGGGATATCAATATCTAGACGTAGATACAATAGAAACAACTCGATAATAAACAGACTAAACTAAAAGAATTCTCTATTTCAACTCTACATCACTCAATTCTTAACATCAGGTAATTTCACAACCGTAACGTGATGCCAGTAAAACTCATGATGAGAAAGTCACGTGTTGCGATCATGCCAGTACCAACTGATTCGCTCTTTTTTTTTGTTATTGTACTTTGCGGCGATATTAAATTATTAAAAAAAAAGTGCAAAATTATAAAATTATATTAAAAAGGATATTCTTACATTGCCGGTAGGCCAATCCGAAGTCTGACGTGTGAAAATCAAATAATTACGACATAAGTGTAAAAACTTTCGCTCATAATTCTATTAAGTGGAACGATCAGCCAGACAGGCAAAAGGACGGGTTCTATTTCTCAGTCAAATTTGACGTGACAGATAGCTAAAGATTGTCATCAAAATGAATGGTAATTACTATTGAGTA